ACAGTTGGTATACAACAACAATTGGCGTACAACAACAGTTGGTATACAACAACAATTGGAATACAACAACAATTGAAATACAACAACAAATTTTATGCAAAAACCAACAAGCGACGGTGAAATTGTTGCTATCACTGCCGACCGGCGGCTTCTGTGTCAATGGTCGGGCCTTGAGGCGCCTTTATTGCCCACCAAACGCCGTTACCTCTTATTGTTGCTTTTTTTGTTGTATTTTTTTGTTGTTTATGGACTAACTGAAAGCTCCTCAGTGGCTCATCACACAATTTTCCACACGTTTTTAGCGCATTTTTACGTTCGCTCTCACGCCGCGCTGGCCGCCAACAACAAATACAACAGCAAAGCAGCAGCAATTCAAGCAACAACAGCTTTGCGTGGCTTAGCGCCTAAAAGCGACTCGACACGTTGAGTTAATCGTGTGCTGTGTACATCGCTATGTGGCTCTATGTATATGTATATRTATATATGTGTGTATGTGTGGTGGGGGCGACGTGGACTAAGTGCATTGACGCTGTCATCAAATTATATAGCCGAATGTCACAAACGAAATTGTTGTCAATTTTAATAAAAACTTTTAYTTATATTTTTAATTTTATGCGCGGAGAAATTTATGTCAGGAATTACGAATACGAGTGTAGAGAAAAGCGCATGCCACTCTTTTTTTGCTTTCTTTCTCTGCAGCTGCAGTCCTCTTCCTYTTCCTTTGCCGAATGTCGCTGTGTTTTAATGATAAGTGACAGCCATTTGTTGCCACACTGTCACTTTGAGTGAGCTGTCAGCAGTTTTCATATGAGCGCTTATACGTGTGTATGTGTGTGTGTGTTGAAGCTTCTTTTGCGCTTTTGAAGTTTATAGCTGCGACATTTAATTGCCAATTTGACACTTTTGACACGCTTGTTTACCATTTATTTCATTATAGTTCAACTATAGCTKGTGCTCATGCTATTGTTGTAATTGTTGTTCTCCTATTGTGTATGTTTACACTAATTTATGTTCATTGCTGACAAATGAAACATTAAGTGCACACTTTTGGAAAATTGCAATTTTATTACGGTTTTTAATATGGTTTGAGGMTAATGAGTGYTYCATTGTGGCATAAAGCAAATCCAACATAAAACGGTGGAAATTAAAATGTTCATAAAATGTGTGCTATAGCAAGTAAGCCATTATTTTCCTGGCATAATTTTCGATTTAAAAATTTTTCAKAAATTTAAAGAAAATTATCCAATAAAAGCAAGAAAAATTCTGTTGTTATAATAGCCTTCACAAAAGTGAAAAGTTTTCAGTGCAAAAAAAATTTCATTTGTATGACAGCTATATGATATAATAGACCGTTCCGAAATTTTTTTCTCGAATGTAGTAGTTTTGCATCAGAACATAATCCAGACGGAATTTCAAGAAGATATCTCCTCAAATAAGACAGTTTTTCTTACAAGCTCTTCATTTCAGTCGCTCATTTTGTATGGCAGCTATCTGCTTGTGGTGCGATATTTGCATTCTTTTTAGAGAATGTACCGTTGCTTTTGAAAATATTTCGTGTAAAGTTTCATGAGGATATCTTGTCAAATAAAAAATTTATCCATACAACAACTTGATTTTGACCGATCAGTTTGTATGACAGCTATAAACTATCATTGTCCGCTCTGAACAATTTCCTCGAATATGGTACCGTCACTTTTGAAAATTCTTCGTGCCAAATTTCATAAGGATATCATTTCAAATAAAAGAGTTCTTAATTCTGACCGGTCAGTTCGTATGGCAGCTATATGCTATATAAATCCATGTCGGCCGTACTGACAAGATACTGCTAATCTTAGTGAGAAAAGAACGAGTGCAAAATTTCAGTTCGATATCTCATAAACTTAAGGACTRGTTCGCGTATATACAGGCAGGCCGACATATCGACAGACTTGACTAAATYGACTCAGCCCATCATGCTGAGCAGTTATATATATAAATATTTTATAGGGTTACCCACGTTTTTTTTTTACACCATCAAATTCACCTCTTATATTTTTAGGCGGCGAGGGAGATTGCCTGCGCGCATTAATCCGCTTATATTTCTATTACTTACCTAACCTTCAGCATTATTTCCTTTTCTTAGGTCAACCCCACTGCCCCTCTCTTCCACACGCAAATGCATACATATTACTACCTCTAATTGTTTATAATCATTAACTATGAAGGCCAAAAGTAAACATAATCAACCGGACACAGCAGTTGTTTCTACCTTCCACTACTTTTCGGCATTCGGCCGGCACTTGTAACGTTACTTTTGTGGCACTATTGGCAACATGCCACGTATTCACAGTTTATTACATGCGACTGTATATACTACAATATATTCCTGGAAGTGTCGGTGCTAATTTGACGGCCTGTTAGTCAGCTGATATGAGTGCCAGTAATCGCTCACGCTAAGCACATATGCTGCCACTGCTAATTGAACTCAATTATCGCGCATAATTCATTTACAGAAAAACTTGTAGTAGTAACAACAACAGCTGAGCATGATTTTTGGGCTAGCGTTAAGGATACTTTTAGCTGGAATTGTATACACGTGTCATAAAGCAAATATGGAACCATATTTATATCTACATGTATGTATGTGTGTGGCTAGTACGAATCTTATATATGATAATGGATTACTCTGAAATATGTTTCTGGTACTTAAGAAAAGTACAAGAGAATCATTTTTGATAATCTTACAATTTTTTTTAAACAAAAATCCGAAATTTTACTTACATTGTTTATAACATCTTGCTTAATCCACTTTAATATTTTAATTTATTTTGTGAAAACTAATTCAATGAGAGATATTTTTTAATAATTAAATAAAAATAGTGTACGTTTATAGAATTTACTTAAATTTAGTATATTTTAAAAAAATTTGAAAATTTTTGAAAAAAAATTATTTCCCTTGATTCCGTAGGAGCCCTCCAATATGACTCCTGAAAAAAAATCTTTAACATTAAAGAAGATTTCTGCTCAGTATTACCTACGTAGGTTGTCTTTTATAGTTCGGGATTAGCGAACATATAAGTATTAACCATAACAAATCTCTCTATTCAAAATATTATCCGTTAAGATCTATACAATGCTGGATGCGTTTGAAGCATTTGCAGGACTGATAGTGATATTTCCAAAATATGACTTTTGACGGCATCAAGGAACTTTTCTGGTTTCCAGAAACTTCGTCCTCTTWGTTTATCTTTTACGTACGGSAATARAKAGTAGTCWTTCGATGTCAAGTCAGGACAATCGAGAATTTGAGTGCTAAAAAATGTGGTTGCTACAGTCGATGARTGAGAGCTCACATTGTCGTGKTGCGGAGTTATCGGTATGATAGCCAACATGAAAAAAATTGTCTACAATGTTAGTTCTGCTAGTGCTTTTAATTATCTCTATCTCATGATGGGTCAAATGATGAACCTCCAATATTATTTAACACCCAGCATCAACAATTTCCGGCACAACAACTGTTCAAAATCAGATTTTCACACAATTTGTATTGGTATAATATACACTTGCGAAGATGTTCGCGATTTAGTGCCAACTTTCGGCCGGGATGAATATTTTAAGTTACTATAAGCAATACAAATAGTGGTTGTATGTTAAAATATTCTCACCATGTGAAGGAGAAAAAATATCAAACTTTCCGACAATATTGCCAGTTGCTAGTGCAACATTTTCTGGCTCAGTTCAATATTTTAAGTTACTATAAACATATCAAATAGCGTTCGTATGTTAAAATTTTCTAAGTATGTACATCACYAAAAATGTCAAATACGGATACATAAAAGGAGAAAGCCATGAGAAAAAAATCGTTATTATTTTYGATGGTTTAATTTAGATAATGGTTAAAAGCCTAGCCTAAGTTTCGGATTTTTGACAACATCGGCACTTTGCTTCGAAAAAAGCAAATTATCGAAAAAAATTTTATTCTTTTGATTATTACCTGATAAAAATATATCGGGAATGGTCCCGTCGGAAGAAATGTTGCTCAACAACTCTGAAAACAGCGTTTAGAGGAAGCAAATTTCACACTAAGTTAACAAATCTCTACAAATAATCTCATATCTCCGAAAGCATTGGGCGGATAAAGCTCAAGTATTTGGGGAATAATCTCTAATAYGTGAATATTGGAAATATATGCAAAACAAACAATCGTTTTTCGAAATTTACAAGTAAAAATAGCCCTTAAATCCGCCGCCTTTCTACGCCATATAATGTCCTCTTCCAACGTCATCCCCACTACGGGGGAGTACCGCCTATATGGTAGTCTAGTTCTACTTCCGCTTTTAAGTCTTTTATATTTAGCCATAAATTACTTCTAATACCAATAATTATTTATGGCTTATTAATTTTTATCACAATAAGACAGAATTTGAGTTGATAGCATTACATTTGTTTTCTGTTCTGTTTTGTTTGTATTTCCGCATAAATTGCTTGCTCATAGAGAAAAAATTTCGGTAATCCATACTGACTTTCTGCCAAACATTTCTTGCCTCAGTAGCACATGCATACATACATACATACAGATAAATACATGCATACATACACACATAAATACATACATTCACAGTAGACAATTGCAGCGTTTATTAGAAGAGCTGCCCCACTTTCTTACTGTCACCACTGCTCGCAGTGTAATTAATAAGCAGGCAATTAACAAATATTAAGCGCTTAAGTGTCCCGCATTACTCGCCTTATTGAATAATGTTTTTGGATTAAGCTACAACAACAACGAAATATCAGTAATAAGCTTAAAGCCGCGCACTTCATTTCTTTAATGATAGTATATACCTAACATATATATCTATATTAGTATATAACATATATATATATATGAGTATATATATTGTCTCTTATACACATCTAGATGTGTATAAGAGACAGGTATATATATATATGTATATATTTATAGCATAGGAAAAATGTCGCTTATTTATTGAACAATTTCATTTCTTGCGCTTTCTTTGCAGCTTTGATGCGCGCGGTCGTCCACTACATCAGGCCATACCCTGGGCGGACGAGAATGTCTTCAAGAACAAGGCGCACTTCTACTATGACACAAATCCGCCGGCGCTGCGCATTAAGAACATACAACTCAGCGATGCGGGCCTCTATAAGTGTCGCGTGGACTTTCATAAATCACCGACGCGCAATTGGCGCATTAATGTGACAGTCTTAGGTGAGTTGCCATCACAAACAAAAAAAAAAAAAAATAAATAAATAAAATAGAGGTAAGGCTGCACAAGCGAGAAAAATTGCCAATTTTGTGTATAAAAATTTTGACATTTTTTGTTGACAAAGATAAAAGCGGGTGTGAAGAACACAAATGTTACAGGCATTTTGTAAAATATTTGTGGCATAGAGAATTTGGTGTGCGCCGCATTTCTATAAATTTCTATGAATTTAATCAGCTACCCCATTTATAGGCTATTCACATTTCATCGTGTAAACGAGCTACGATTCGGCAATACAAAAGCATATGCCTAAATTGTAAAAGCCCTTTAAATGACAACATACTTCCGCAGAAAGTTTTGCCCCCTTTTTTCTTCCCACCGCACACCTTCACTTTAACTTCGCTGCCGCCAAGCAGCGTCGCGCTCCTTTAACTTTGCTGTGCAAATCAAATGATTTCATATTTTTCATTTGGCATTAGCCTTACACACACACTACGCTGGAGCAGCCACACACTCAAGCATGAGGGTGCTCTGTGGCGTATACGCAACCGCCCGCATCTCATGCTTTCTCCAGCCACTAAGCGCACTCGTGGCATTTCCGCTTCCGCAGCGCACATTTTTCATTTCCCTTCCAGCTTATTTGCCACATTCGCGTAGCTCGTGTACGCTTGCGTGTGTGTGTGAGTGAAAAATTGTTACATTCGCACCTTCGCAAGAACGTCGCCGTGCAAGGTGTCACCAGTCAGTTTGCTGACATTTTCATAACATTTTTCTCTGTAACTTGCAACTTTTTTGTCTCCATTCTTTTTTGTGTGCTGAAATGCCAATACACTCGAACGGCAATTTTGCTGCCTTTGAATTGGGACTAGCATATAGTATTTGCCTTATTACAACCGTGCAACATGCTCATCCGCCACCCAAGGCAATATTTCTTTGCGTTTTTCTTTCACCTTTTTCAACACACATTCCGTGCAACATTCTCGCATACCTGAAATTCCTGCAGTTATACGTCCTCAAGCTCTGCTCTCATACTCTGCTTCATCTTCTTCTTTATCGCCCGCAGTGCCGCCCACACGCTTAACAATACTGGATCACAATGGCGCTGAAATACGCGACCAATTGGCCGGTCCCTACTTGGAGGGCGACAGCGTTAATCTGACGTGCCTGTCCAGCGGTGGTGTGCCGCCGCCGCGCGTCTCCTGGTGGCGCGAACACGCGCTCGTCGACGACTCCTTCCATGTGCAGCCAGATGGCACCGTTCGCAATATACTACACTTGAAAAATATCGCACGGAAGGATTTACTAACGGTAAGTACCTCCATATACATGTGTATTTGTGTAGTTGGGTGTGTGTATGTGTGTGTTTTTTCTCTCTTCCATGTCTGTAAGTTGTGCTGTGTGSTCTCGCTCCCTTGTGTGATGACTGCCCTTAAGAATGACTGAGTGCTGTTAATAAAAGTTGTTGCTGTTGTTGTGCACTTGTAAATATATATAGTAAGTGCAATTTAGCATTTTCGGACACTTTTAAGTGAGTTTTGGCAGGTATATGTGTGCGGTACAGGTGTTCTTGCTGGAAGTTTTTTGAGTTATGTTGAGAATTTAGTACTTGCGGGAAATATAGAAAAGGAAACAAGTAGGTTTGAAATTTGAAAACTTTTGTTATTAGTATAAAGCTTAAATTTTGAGATAGATGGGGAAACTTTTGATCTAAGAAACAAATCAATCTGAACCTTTACCTCTGCTCGATATTCGTCGAATGGTTGAAATTTCGAGCGCAATTTTTTTTTACATAATGTTCAAGCGCCAATAAAGCAAAAAACCATTCGAAGTAATGGAAATAATGCAGCCGTTCAGTTTACTCACTCAAGAATTGAAGCCGTTAAGCCACCGTAAACGCGGTGAATGATTTGGTAGTGGCAGATTTTACCTTGGAACAACTTGAAAACGATAACGATTTTTTTTTTTTTATGAAACTAATCTTCTTCGATGAGGCTCACTTTCATCTGAGTGGTGCAGTAAATGAAAAAAAACTGCCGATTCTGGTGTGAAAAAATCCAAAACTTATTCATGAACAAACATTACATTCACCTCAGTGACAGTTTAATGTGGTGTTTAGTCTGGTACGTACTTCCTTTGAAATGAAGCTGGTGACTCCGTTATTCTTAATGAAGAGCGGTATGGACCGTTGATAACCAACCTTTTATGGCGGCAATTGGGCCAAGTTGATCGTGACAACATCTCGTTCTTATAAGACGATTGGATTTGGGTTCATCGAATTCGTTCTTGTCAAAGAAGGCGTGAAGACCATTTGARTGATATTATATTCAGAACTTAGTTGTATCGATTGTGCTTCACAATAATTAAAAATAACAAAAAAAATTACATATGATCAAATTTGACCCGCACTGAGAAAACAAATATACAAGTGATCAAATTTGACCCGGACTGAGAAAAAGAAAACCAAAAGTAAATGTCCATATGATCAAGATTGACCCGGACTGAGAAAAAATTTAAAAGTTAATACACATATGATCAAATTTGACCCGGACTGAGAAAAAGAAAACCAAAAGTAAATATCCATATGATCAAGATTGACCCGGACTGAGAAAAAAATTTAAAAGTTAATACACATATGATCAAATTTGACCCGGACTGAGAAAAAATCTACTTACATACATGCATATATTTTACTACTACCCAATTTTTCTACAGAGCCCAACCGATTATAATGTTTTATATTACAGTACGCATATATAGATATACATATTTCTCCCACTGGTGTGTATTAATTTCCGTGCAATAATGTTTACCTAAGTAAATGATTAATTCTTCTGTAAGGCCTAAAAAGTTAATATACTTGACTACAGTATATCAAAAAAGAAATTACATATATTTCATACCAGCGGAAACACACACCAACTCCATTCCTTTGGGYAAATAATAGACCGCAGACAATATTTTAGGCCGCCTCGCTGATTAGGCATGTGCGCGTAACACATGTATTAATATTTTATTATACAAATGCGGATAAATGAGCAGTCTAATGGCGAAAAATTGTAAGCCCTAACRTAAAAAGTAGAAATTTTTCAAAATATTGCAAAACCATATTTTTTTTGTAACAATTTGTCATAAATACTTTTCTGAATGCTTCAATGCAGTAAGATTCTTAATGCATAGTCTTTCTCGGACAGCAGTTTGGTGAAAATTACTATCAAAATGTGATTTTGATTGMCTCTGATTTTTTAATACCTAACTATAAAACACCAAAACTTGTTGAGCTTYCTTTCTACCTCATTTGCAACACCAACTAGTATTTATCTGCCTTCCAACGCATGCTTCCACTTAGTTGGCCACCAACTGTAGTCAGTTGCGCTAACGTTTTTGGCGTGTTTCACCTGCAGCCAATGATTATGACATAAAAAATTAATTAACATAAATTGCTTACGCCTTGACAAATGAAGTGGATTTGTCGCGTAGCACAACGCTCTCCACCTCCATGAAGCGTGTGCGTCYTCGTAAGGCTTCAAATTGCTTTTTGGGAGTTCACCTATAAAATTTGATATGCAAAAGCGAAATTGCCATGCCACATGCTRGTTTGCGGTATAGCTTCTACGTAGCTAAGTCTTTGTGTATGTATGTCTGCTTTTCCAGCTTAGTAAGCTTTCGAATGACAGTGAAGAAAAACGCAAACTTTTCACCGTTGCTTAGATGTGGCACGCATATTGTTTTTGTCTTTCTCTTTTTGAWACTGAAGACGCTTTGTTTATGTAATTTTAATTCCTTATAATGCGCATCATTTTTCTTGTTTTTAATTTCCCGCGAAGCTATGCAAAAAGGCGGTAGGGTATTTATTAAACAGAAAATATATAGCCTGAACAGGGTATATTAAGTTTGTCAAGATGTCTGTAATACGCATAAAGAAACGTCAGAKGTTTTATAAAGTATTTGTAAATGTGATGAGTGCGTGATGAGCTAAGTCGATTTAGTCAYATACACAAACTAGTCCCTTAGTTTTTGAGATGTCGATCTGAAATTTTTTATACGTCCTTTTTTCTATAGCTATAGCATATAGCTGGCATACAAACTGAACGATCGGAATAAAGTGCTT